CGCCACCTGCGTTCCGAACCCGGTATTTGAGATCTGGCTCATCCCGGGCTACTAACAGTAGGTACAGCGAGGTCATTCGCGAATGCGAAGGGGGTTGTACCCTCACCGTATTCACAGTGCATAACCACGTCATATGCCAGATTCCATAGCGTCGGGCCCAAGATAGATCCCTGGGGGTACCCCGGCCGTCACGTCCACGATCGTGCCCTTTTTCACCATAATCTTTCTCTCGGACAGATACTCCGCCACAACATTCATCAGGTAACCAGGACATTCTCTTTCCTCCATTGCCTTCATTATCTTGTTCCACTGCAGCGTATTGAATGCATTCTTAACATGAAACAACAGCAGGGCCGCCCAGCGATGTTCATTTCCTCTGTTGCGCAATGCTTCGAGTACACTCATGATTGCATCAATCGTGCTTTTCCCTTTACAATAACCAAATTGCCTCCGAGATAAACCACCTGACCTCTCAATCATGTCGTCTATTCGTACTCGCAGCATCCTTTCATATAGCTTACTGATACATGGAAGAAGACAGATGGGGTGATACTTCTCCCTAGCTTTGTGAATCAGTATTAACCTCGATATTCTCCAAGGCTCAGGAAAGGTTTGTGCTTCCAGCAATGCATTCATATGTTCTAGAAGCCACGCAGGCTCCACCCGTCCTAGACCCTTCACCGCCTCAGGTGGTATCTGATCCAGTCCGAGAGACCTACGAGTCTTACGTGAACCCAATGCCTTGATAAGTTCATCCATGGTAAAAGGTGCAACCCGCTCAGCTCCTTCATCCCTCCATACACCATGACATCTGCCGTCCGAAAAGAGCTCTCTTGTTACCTTAAGCTTCTTGTCCATAGGCATTTCGTAAGGAGGATACGCATGGAACTTCTTCATAACGATCTTGTATCCCTGACCCCAGATGTCATCATCCAGTTTTTCACACAGCTCTTTCCAGTGCCTTATTTTTTCTGTATGAATTTTCCTGTACAGTTCCCTCTTCCTTGCACGGTACTCTTCCTCGATCTCCTCGATGATCTCAGGATTTATTCCTGCTCTTCCTCGTGCTCTTGTTAACCTTCTTTTCATTGCTATACATACATTTCTTAGTGCCTCGATGTCCGCATTCCACCAATATGGCATCCTGTTGACATCTTGGCGACCAATCTTGCTTGCTTCCATCGCTTCTTTAATGACTCTCTCCAGGCTTTCCACCGTCAATGATTCACCCTCCATTATGCTCACTCTCCATTTAATTAGCTCCTCGTATACTTTCCAGTCATTCCGATTGCTGCATCTGCGCCCAGACGTCCCGGATGCACGGACCGTGTTAGTGGTCCCCGTTCCAGTTATCTAGAACTCGATGTATTGATGTTCAGTTCCGGTGTAGTCTGGCAAAACCTTCCAGCCTCTTGCTTTCGCCGTTATTCCTTGAGTCGCCATGGTCACGTCGATGTATGTACCTGTACCTCTCCTAACAAACGTAGGTTTCAGACCTGTGTTCAGTACCACTTGGTCTAGACTACCCACCCAGTCAGTTAGTATCCTGCTGCGAGTATCGGTGATTGAAGATCCCCACTCCGCTGCTTTTGCGTTAAAATCTCCCAGCACTACGTATTCTCCTCCTGTGTTTACCACTTCCTGCATGATCTCATCTACCTTCATCTCGTACTCGCCCACCGTCACGTTTGGAGAAATATAACAGCAGACCAGCCGCACCGCTTCATCTGAACAATAATATATTCTTCTTTCAGCTTAATTTCATACATTCGCAGCTTCCTATTATAGATTCGTACAGCAGCCCTCCCGCTCGTATCTACAAACCATCCTCTTCTCTTCACCGCTGTTGGATTTGGTTCTGCCGTCACCAGTACATCGATGTTCTTTTCTACTGCGGCAGCCTCAGCAAGATCATGTACTAATCTTGCCGTTCCAACATTAGTTTGGAGCACCCTCAGCTCTAGAGTCTTGTTTTCTTTGTTTGTCATTTCTAAACCTTCGACTTCTTTCGCGCTCTCTTTTACACTCTCGTACTATTCATGGGATTAGTCCTCAGTAATTCCTATTTTCAACCAGTCGGTTGAACTTTGAACATATTCTTGAATTCGCCACATGTCCATTTACGTCGCAGTTGGGGCATGTGGTTGTTTCTTTCTTACAATTCAGCGCTATGTGACCCTCTTTGCCACATCGGAAGCAACATCCTCTTCTATTCTGCCCCTTGCATTGCCATTGTTTGTGTCCAAAGGCAGGACATCTATCACTCGACATTTATCACTCGCCAGGATGTGTAGTTTAGTTTTATTCTTTTCATTTTCAAAATCTTTTCGGCAGCGTCTTCATCCACATCGATCACGGCACTCATCATCCCTCTTACGTGTCTCAGTTCAATCGTCTCATCATCCCTCGTGTCTCAGTCCAAATTTTTATAATGTCACAGGCCCGCTCTTTGCCAGCGTCTTCCTCAGTGGCCTCTTGGATCTCTTCCTTTGTTGTATTAGGAGGGATTTCCTGTACTAAGATTCTACTCTTCACGATGCCTCCTTTTTCAACTGCTCTCGATACGCATGTATTATCAGAGAGGAGTTTCTTCACTTCCTCCGCCATTTCCCATCCTCCAACTAACTCCAGTGATATTCCTTGGTCTCTAGTTTGTCTGATCCTTTTAATGTCAATGTCCTTTCTTCCTGTTAGTTTGTTTTTTACTTCTGTCATTAGATCCACAAAGGATTTTACTTTGGATTTATTGATGATTACGACTCCATTTTGTTCTTTGGACTTGGTGTTGATGTTGGTATACTTTCTTGTTGTTTTTTTACCTAGGAGCGTGATCGTTACATCTCTTTCTCTTGAAGCCCACTCCATATTTTTTCTCGATGTCTGAACTCCCAGTGCTGCCGGTGTGTGGATTCACAAGTTTTCTCTTCCCAGCTCCTCCATCTTCTGTACCAGTTTCCTACATGTTTTCAGGAACTTCACCGGCACAGGTTCTTCCCTTTTGTTTGGAAGAAGTTTAAATCCATACTTCTCCTTGTGGATCCACAATCCATCTTTATGAGCAGACATCGTGACTCTCATAGTTCCCAGGCCGCCCTCCTCGTCCACCTTCGCTGGAGCACCTGGTAGCTGCGGAAATATAGCTTTGGCCTTTTTTATAGCTTAGTTGTCCTCGTCATTGTTGGTGATAAAGACTGCCACATCTCCTGTTATTTCTGAGATGTCTTCTTCTTTCACTATAGTCCTAGTGAAGACCTCCTCTGGCCAGTTTTCATTTAAAACTCTATCGTTTGTCGCCCATTGTCGCCAACTTCTTAATTTTCAAGGATTCCATGTTGATCTGCACACCTCTAGATGTCATGCGCACAGACTTCCTTGGAGCCTCTTCTTCCTTATTTTCCTCCACTTCCTTGATATAATCGAGCATCTGATTTCTCAGGATGTCGACCTCTCTCTTTATAGATAACCTTGTATTTGGCACCTTTCTCATAAGTTTCTCGAGTTCCGCTACGCTGTCCTGGAGGCGCTCCAACTTTGATCTAGTTTTGTAGTTCAGTGGCTGCCTCTCTTCCTCCGAATTGGACGTTTTGTCCTGTTGTTTGGTTTTCTTTTTCTTGACCTACTTTTTTACATTCGTCATCAAAGCTGCTTCTGCTGCCCGAGCTGCTTGCTTCTTCGTCTTTCTTTCTTTCGTTTTTTTTCCTTAGAATCTCCTACCTTATTATATTGTTTCCTTCCTTTTGCGTCTTTTCTCCTTCTTCTTTCTCTTTTTCTCCTCCCTTTATTTCTTCCTCTCTATTGGTTTGCTGATTCTCCCTTTCTTCCCTATACTTCCCGCTATTTCTGCTTACTTTTTTTTATCTACAATTTCTTTCACTTCTCTTCTCCAGCTTTTCTTTCCTTGAGTTTCATCCCTCTCTTTCACCCCTCGTCTTCTACTTTCTCCTTCATCTCCGCTACTCCCTCTTCCTTTTTTTATTTTTCTTTTTTCTTCCCATCTTTCTTCCCAGTAATTAAGTAATTCGTTACCTGCCTCAATGAGTTATTCTCATATCAGGACTTCCGTAAAATTCGCGATTATAGTTCATATTCCTATTTCGTATTTTGTTTTGATGCTATTTTTTATAATACCTACCCATTTTGTTGGCTATGTTTAACGATATCGATATCATTAGCGTAGACTACAATTTGTAGACACTTCGTTTATTGACAGGGTTATATTATTTGATGTTACTTGTTATAGGTTGACGATATTTTCTTTATAAGAGGTCTCCATATCGAAGGTAACCGTATGCCGTCATCTCTTTTATTGAGACAATTTGACTTTTTTCAATTACAAGCGGAGGTAAAGAAAATATCGTCCGCTCCACCCGGCAATTAAAACCCGCGCCAATCCCCACGTTAACCTCTACGCCAACCTCCACCGAAATCACGTCACCATCGACGGTATTAATGGACCGTTCTCTGTTTCCATTGGCAGTAATGCATTGCATCCTGAATTTTTACAAAAGTGGAAATGAGAGATGAAAAAAAAAATGTTGAAAGGAATGACACAAGGTATTTACATAATTATAGAACGAGATTATAGACATATTTATAACAGAGCACAGCAAAGAAGAAGATATTAGGAACGAAAATATTACCAAAGATGAATAAATGATATCAACAATCAAATTGAACAGAAAATATATGGACAGTATTCATGTCCAAAACTTAGTCGTTTATTGTGGTTATATAATTATAGTGTTAATATAAGAGTGGTCTAAGAAATAACGGGTTGTAAAGTGGTATATTAAAATGGTACATTAAACCACTAAACAGGGCGTCGGTCCAATAATTAAATTAATTGGTCTTAATATTTAAAGAAAAACCAAACTAAAACGGTTAATATGATTTTAGACGGTTTGTAACTTTATGCTGTAGCACAGCTTATATCCTACATTTAAAGTTTATTTTGCACCACTATGTCTCTTATGCATTTTATTTTTATTCATGTGTTTTAGGGAGCCGCTATCTTCGCTATTATGTGCTGCGATCTAGCTGCACGAGAAGCCAAAAACTTAACCACTGTGTGCTATAATCTACTTAACGAGTCTATGACAAACCAGAAGAATGCAGAATGTACTCAGATGCTGCTACAACTAATCGACTATACCAAGTCTGTTCCAGCTAAGTTTACAGCTGCCGACTTCTACGAAATAAAACGAACAACTATTCTGCAAATTCTGGGAATTGCTATGACGTATTTTGTAGTCGTAGTTCAATTTGATGGTTTAAGTTAGGCAATAAAGTCACGTATATCCGCTATATATGTATTTTTGTCTATTTATTATGTAGTTAATAGAATAGTTTATGTGTTTAAGAGTTTGTTAAAAGGTTGAATAAAGGTTTCGTACTTTATTTTTTTCAAAACCCCTTACGACTTTGTTTGATCTTTAGATAAAAAGATCCACCAGTTTTATTATAAGTCGCCCAATAATAGAATTAGAGGTAAAATATCAAATAATTAAAGCGAATAGAATATCTGGATATTTGAAACACTATATCTGGAGAAGTCACTTCTCATCATTCAAAGTAAGAATCAGAATATATAAAGCTCTGGTTAGACCATTAACAAACATTTTTAAAATCATTGTGTGCTAGTTAGTTGATACGAATCTAACGTAAAATGTAGATATATTAAAAACTACAGAAATAAATGTCTTTAATAAGTAAAGGGGCTATGCCGATTTATGCGCAAAACAGGTCATTTTCCCATGTAAATCTCCATAAGAAATTCTGAGGTCCATTCTGGTCATTTTTGACGCTTTTTTGGTGGGGGGTAAAACGGCTCATCGGATCATGACGTGTAGAGTATCGTTGGAAAGCGGAGGGGACGGGGAAAACGTTGAGATAAAAATCAAACGCAGAGACTGCCAAAACGGTGCTATATCGTATCTCCATTGTTATTGGTTCGATTGTGACGTACGAGGGCTCGTTGGAACGGGGAGGAGACGGGAAATACGTTAACACAAAAAGAAAACGCAAAAGATAATGCTAAAAGAACACTAAGCTTATAACGTCTAAACTACTCAACGTACAACAACAAACAAGGTATCGATGAAAGGGGAGGTGGTAGCGCATATGTTAAAATAAAAAAAACAAACGCAATGACAATACCAAAACGGCACCAGATCATATTTTCATTGTTAATGGTCCGATTGTAAAGTACGAAGCGTCAAACGAAAGGTCAGAGAAGAATAAATATGTTAGAACGCAAAGACAATACCAAAACGACATTTCAACATATCTCCCTTTCTATTGGCCAGATCGCTATATGTAGCACGTTAAATGAAAGGGAAGGGGGTAAAAACATACCTTACCGAAAAAGCCGCTCTCTCTTTATCTCGAAACAATTCATATGCCATTGATATGGATATATAAAGTACAGTACCTGCTATCGCCAGAAATAAAACGAATAGGAAAGTATATCATTCTTACAGTATGACCAAACCATCAAACATTCACCTGAACATACAAGTCTACAGTGGCCGATCAATACATGGATCCCACCTCAATCATATATCTGCTCTTTACAAAGAGTATATACCATTCGTATAGTATGACCAATCTTACCTGAACGATCACTGATCAACATGAATATTATTTGATTAGCATCCAGTATAACTGTTTCTAATATATTTGCTAAATTAATATTTAAATTACCTGTTCACTTTTCATAACGTAATTGAAACGAATTTAAATAGGTGTTTAATTTACATATAAAACGTTTACCAGTATTAATTAAAGACCAAACCATATTGATCGTCTTACGAACAACGCAGGAAGCAGAAATAAATGTCTTTAATACAACAACCAAGCAATACAATATAATATTATCAGCAGAAAAAAACAAAAGTATGGTAACATCTTAATACCCACTACTATGTAAAATCAAAATTTATGAAAAAATAATAAAGCAGGAAGCAAGGTTTAGATATTTGGGAATAGACATAAATAGTTATGGACATGTTAAAGAAGAAGTACGACCACTAAGCTTAAAAGGGTACCCTTAAATACCTTGTAACGTTATAAAGAAAAATATGAGGATGGCCGGCGACGAGGACGCAGGGTTAGTTGATGATGACAAAAATTTGCAGATTAATTTCAAATGTTGCACCAAAAAAATAATGCAAAATTGTGGTACGCAAATGGTGTTTGAATGTGTTTCATCCTAGCTGTGCAAAAAGGGCTAGTTTTGAAGTTTGAAAGTGCTGTGAGAATGGTAAACATAACCTGAATGTAGTTAAATCAACAGCTGATATAGAAATACCTAAGTTAGAAAACGAGTTACTAAAAAGACTTATCAAATCAAGGAAATCGATGACAAGAATAGTTGGATAGCCCAAAATTTGACAAAGTAAGTCTAAAACGTTAATCACAAAAAAATTTATCATCCATTAACTTCGAGTTTTCGACTCCATCCACTAACTTCCATTAAATTCGACTTACCCAAAGGAAAAAAAAAATAGAATTCGCAATATTTTGTATCGAATGCGTGAAAACAATCAACATGTCTGTTTAGCTACTTTACTGGCCAAAATAAGAGAAATATAAGTTAATAAAATTAAGGGGATTAGCCTTTGAAATGTGTTGAGATATTTAGGATTTAAATTCATAAAAGAAAATAATAGGTTACTTTTATGCGAAAGGAGTAGTGTGGTCTAAAAAAGAATTAAATTATTGAGAGAATATACTACACTTATATCTGAAAATGCAACTATACTTAAATGAAAAAAGGTTTTATAGAAAACGCAGATTTAATTTTTTTTTTCAAAATCACAATCTGCTGATAACCATGAAAATATGAATGCAGGTATGTTTGTTAAACGGCTTGAGGAAAACTTGTTACCTAGTCTGAGTGAACCACCAGTTATAGTTTTAAATAATGCACCTTACCATTCGGAGATTTTTGAGAAACAACGAAACAGTTCGAAACAACGAACTTACCATACAAAATTGGTTTTTTAAAAAGAATATCAATTGTCCGAAATATGATTTCAAATCAGAGTTACTAGAAATTTCGAAACGTAAGGAAAAACCAACAGTTTATATAGTTGACCAAATTGTATCAAGTTATGGATATCAAGTACTACGGTTACCGCCGTATCATTTCAAGTTTAATCCCATTGAACACATCTGGGGTATATGTAAAACGAATAGTGATAATCACGTTGGATGCAGTGGACACAGTGACAATGCAGTTAGGGAAATTTGGCAAGAAGTTCTTAAATCTGCATCTTCAGAAATATGGGCCAAAACTGTAAATAAATGTGAAAAATTAATATAAGAGTGGTGGATCCGGAAAAATATAATTAGTGAAATTAATCCAGTGATCATAGATTTACATAATGATAACAGTAGTGAATTTAGTGACGATGATGATTTATAAATTCGAATGATCAGTAAGTACACAATTATAAAGTTATTTACAAAATATTTTATTATACAGCAGGTTAACCATTATATTTATACATTCAATATTAGATAAATAAACAATAATATTTAAAGGTTCATTAGAATTTTTGCTTCTAAGTTTATACAAGTTAACTATAACTAATAATACAGGCAAAAATATTCTAAACAAAGTTAGTAATTAAACAGGTTATGGAGAACTCCAGTGCAGATTACCGTGCCTTTTACTACAACGAAAGCTTTTCTGCGAATCCCATTATTCGTTTAGAGATTATGTAAGTTGGTTAAATGTACTGTAGAGAAGTATTATAATGATTTAAATATGATAATGACTTATTTGAAAAAAAAATATTATAATAATGGAAAACTTTAATGTCAAAGGTAGAAAAGAAAACATTGTAGGCAATTTTGGACTTGGATAATTTTAAATTTGTAGAATTCTGCGTAGGGAACAATTTATGTGTGACAAATACATTCTTTAAACTACCCAAGCATCGTTTATACCCTTGGAAGTTACCACCAGATACTAAAGAAAAGATCATAAAAAAGTCAGATCGACTACATAAAAATTAAGTACTGAAAAATACCGAAAAATTATTCAGATAACTAAAACACGACTTGGAGCAGGTATTCCCTTAGATCCTAATTTATTAATTAGTGACATAAAAGTTAAACTAAAATTAAAAAATTAAAACGCCAACAATCCACTAACCGAATAAACACTGACAGTATTCAAGAAAATAGCCAAAAAAGTATATGAGGTCTGGCTATTAAATAACGAGACTGATTATGAAAAAGAGTTTTATTTTAAAAATTATTCTACAGTCGAATGCTCCCCTTCAATATACTCCCCTTCCCTCGCCACACACCGTTCCATTCGTTTTTTCCATTGGTCAAAGCAATCCTGGAAGTCTTCTTTTGTAAGAGCATTTAGGAGCTCCGCCGATTTTCGCTTCACCTCTTCCATCGACTCGAACCGGGTTCCTTTTAAGGCAGACTTGATCTTCGGAAACATGAAAAAGTCACAGGGTGCCAAATCAGGCGAGTACGGCGCGTGTTCGAGTACTGGAGTGCCTCTAGCGGCTAAATAACGCTTCACAGACAGCGCGTTATGGGCAGGTGCATTGTCCTGGTGCAAGATCCACGATTTGTTTTTCCACAACTCCGTCCTTTTCTTACGAACTCGCTCTCGGAGCGTTGCCAAAACTTTCAAATAGTAAGTTTGGTTTACAGTTTGACCCTCTGGAACCCATTTAGTCATCATGATGCCGTTGATGTCGAAAAAAACGATTAGCATGGCTTTAAATTTTGATTTCGACATCCTTGCTTTTTTCATTCTCGGCGATGCAGCAGTTTTCCAGTGCATGGATTGCCGCTTAGTTTCAACATCGTATTGGAATATCCAGGTTTCATCGCAAGTGATGATGTTTTTCTATCAATTCAGGCTCTTGATCTAACCGCTGAAGAAAATCTGAGCAGATCTGTTGAAGGACGAGCTTTTGGTCAGGGTTCAAATTTTTTGGGACCAACTTCGCACAGACTTTCTTCATGTTCAATTAGTCATGTAAAATTTTTCTGACAGTTTCTTCTCAGATTCAGTAGACAGGTTCTCGATCTACGCGCACAATTTCATTTATTTTGGTCACTATTTGCGGAGTTGAAACAGAGACAGGTCGACCTGACGTTGGTCATCCTCGGTGCTCTCTCGACCTTCAGAAAACCTTTGGTACCATTCGAAAACACGCGCACGAGATAGAGAATTCTCACCATAGGCCTCTTTCAACAACTTATAGCACTCTGCCGGAGTTTTTTTTAATTTAACGAAAAATTTCACATTGATGAGTTGTTCGTGTT